CAGGGCTCTTCACTTCTGTTCTCACTTCAACACACACACTCACACACACTAAACCCATCTGAATAATAAAACATAATCTCATGTCAACCTTATCAAATTATGTATTAGCTAACCAGTGGACAAAAATGTAAAAAAGGTCCAACTTCTACTCACAATAATATCACAAGTTGACTGTTTGAATTGGATTTCTAAAAATACAACATGTTGCCATTCTGGGGTATATAAATTACAGGAATTGTTTTATATAAAATATAAAAAATATATTTCTTGAGCAGCAAATCAGCATATTAGAATGATTTCTGAAGGATCATGTGACACTGAAGACTGGAGTAATGATGCTGAAAATTCAGCTTTAACATCACATTATATATTGTGATGTATATACACAAAATATATTCAAATAGAAAACAGCTCTTATAAATTGTAATAATATTTCACAATATTATTGTTCTTGTATTTTTGATCAAATAAATGCAGCTTTGGTGAACATCAGAGACTTCTTTCAAAAACATAAACACCATTTTAACATGGCTTACTCTCACAAAATAAGTGTTAATTGTTTGAAGAGAAAACACAGCATGCTATTGGTAGTGATAAAGAACACCATGACACAAGCAAGCTCTCACTGCTGTCAACAGATACCTCTGATGCTACATGAGCTTCACTTCACCAGTCAACAAGACAAACAGCGACCAAATGCCGGTAGAAAGAGAAGAAGAGAGACACAGAAGGATAGTGAGAGAAAGAGACACAGGGACAGAAATGTAAGGGCAAACGACAAAGACATTGAGTAACCTCTTTATTTGAAAAGTGTTAAATTGTTAAATAAATGTTTTGTATATAGATATATATATATATATATATATATATATATATACACTGTAAATAATGACTGTGAATTTAACGGTAAAAGACTGTAAAAATGCTACAGTAAAAACCTGTTAAATGTTTAACGGAATGGTTAATGGATAACTACTATATACGGTGAAAAACTGTATTGGACATTACATGCAATTTTACAGTAGTATACCGTTTTTGGAAGTGAAAAAGACCGTATAATTTACAGTGAATAACCGTAAATGGACATTCCCAGAATTCCCTGCGTCACATTTCAAATCTGATGTTTTTTTTGTTGAAATAACTAGTTTTCTTCTTAGTTTTTTCTTATCGGATTTGTATGTTAGGGTTGTATGTTACACCTAATGTTGTTAGATTAATGTTTATTGCATTATTTCCATTTCATGTGTGTTACGGGGTTTAGTGTTTGTGTGAATGACACTGTGCACCTTCTATATATGTTATTATTTAAAAGCTGCTTGTGATGGGCTTTGGTTCATCATGTGACTTTCTCATCACCACCTGCATTTGGTGGTTATCAGTGTATTACAAAGGTACAAAACAGATTTCAGTACTTCAAGAGGTTGGTATATTAACATTATTTCAGTTAATGAAATTACGGTATTTAACAGTAAATTTAAGTTAAAACCGTAAAACCTAAAATATTGCTACCATAATTTTTACGGTAAAATTCCAGTAACCACAGCTGCCGTTTTTTTACCGTAAATTTTACTGAATTTTTTTTACAGTGTACCTTTTGTGATGGAAATGACAAACTCTTTGTCATGCTAAGGTTAATTTCATACCTATCGTTTTATGTATTTTACATAAAAATTTTATTTTCTTTTTTGCATAATTTGACAAACTTATAACTTTTGTCAAAAAAAGTAAACTAAAGTTTGATAAAAAAGGGGAAAATGTTCATGGAAATTATGCCAGATTTTCTCATTCTATATATATAATTTATAAATTATAAATATATAAGTAATAATTGTATTTTTAATATTTTCACAAAATGAATATTGAAATGTTTGAGTTGATTATTGTGTTAATTATTATTGAAATTATTAAGTGAAATTATTTCACACTATCTAGATCATATTGATAAATTCTTGATAATTAAGATTTTTATAATTGATTTTCGTACACTGAAAATCCTTAAACACAATTTTCACTCAGAAATGACAAAGAAACAGCAAAAGTAAAAAGAAAGTAACACATATTTAGAAAGACTTCAATTGTATGAATAATGAGAGAAAAAACAATGTGTTTATTTTCTAAAACCAAAATAAAACTGAACACCTCAAAATTACAAAAAAACAAAAAACAATAAAAACGATATCTTTCAAAAAGGTCTCTTCAGTACGCTATAATGGATCAATCAAATAATGTTAAGTAAAATTAAAAAGCCGAAGCCTTTTTGCAGTGGATGTGTTGGTTTGGGCCTCATTGCCGACTGCAGTCATGTCCTCATCTCATATATAAAACACCTGTGATTCACAAATACTTGCTAAGGAACTCACATTCACATAAAGTAGCCTTGTTGAAAAGTTTGGATGAGTAAGGGCGAAACGCACAAGATGCTGTACTTTCAGTGACCTGTAGTAGCCACACTCTAAAAAATGCTGGGTTAAATACAACCCAGTGCTGGGT